CACATTTTACACTGTAACCCAGGACACTTCCCCACTCTGTAAATAAGCTTTCCAAAGCTATCCTAGATAGCCCAATGGCCCCACTCTGATCTCACCCATCAGATACAAGATGTCATCATTTTGCAACCATTTTCTCATTAAAAACCATGGATTTGTATTTACATCTGTGTTACTAGAGCTATGATTACATTTTGTTCCCAAATACAACCTTCTTTTTTTGTCCAAAATGCAACAGTAGTGCTATTTTCCATTTAAATTTTTTTTGTTCCCCAGCAGGTATTTTAAAGACACATCAAAGAAGAAAAAAGCCTAAAGCATGTACACACTCAACAGCTTGCAGTACCTCCCCATTTCTAGCATGAGCTGTATACATTACTCCATGTTCCAGTTAACTTGAAAAAAAAAATGCCTAACAGTCCTCGTGCTTAAAGTAACAAGTAGGTTTAAATAAGGAGCAGTAATACCGGAGGCATTCGATTTTTCTGCAAAACATTCAACTGGAAAAAAAGAGAGCTTATTCCACCTCCTCTCCATTGCCTTTGAATAAATAGTACATATCTCATCACATGGCGTGCCTTAGCTCCGCTGTCAGAGCCACGCCAGGATCACTACAAAGCTTTGCAAAGACCACCAGATGGTGCTGACGTTTTGCTTTAGATTAAACACTCACCCATCACTGCTTTTCTTGCATAAACAGTAATATTGGCAATTAAAGTACCAGAGAGACATCAAACATTTTTAAATGTATAAATTGTCACGTGAGGAATTTTCATATGGCTTAAACATAACAGATTGCCATATTATTACACATAACTGGTCTAATAAAGTTGCTAATTTTTTTAACTGTCTTTATACTTGCATTTTCCTCCACTGACGCTCTGTGTCTTTGACACATAAAGTTACTTTTTTGTCAGAATAGCAGTGCAGATTCTGAAATGAAGCAGCACTTTAATTTTTATTTATCCTTTTTTTAAATCTTCCTAATCACAAACAATTATGTTTCAAACACACAGAGACACTATTGTAATTCCTGTTGAGTATAAGCTGCCACATACTTGGCACCAAGTATCAATGCGACTTAGGAAGACAGTGTAACATGAAAACACAGTGAAACAAGCAAAATCTGAGAAATCAAATAATTTTCAGATTTAATTCTCTTGATTCTCAACTCCAGAAAAGCAGAGAGGACAGGAAAACAAAAACTAAAAAACCAGCCACTTTTTAAAAAAAAAAAAAAAGGCCTTGAAGAATACAAAAGGTTGGACAGGGAGAATGTAAACAAACCCCCACATCCAATTTCAGTCAGTGTGCTTGAGACTTGCATATTAAACCTAAACCTGTGCCAAGAATCACAAGCTCAGTATCTAGAAACAGTAAATCCACTTCCATCCTCACAAGTTTTACTGCAAAAAAATGCATTCACAGTCTAGCTTTTATGTCTCTGTAACACACGGTAATTTGTGAACCTCAAAAGAAAAAAAAAAGCCAATCCAAGGAGTCACCCACATATTCCGCCCAAAGCCCTCCATGTCCTCGAATCAAGTGATTTATGTCACCATCCTAATTACCTCTACGGCACTACAGGACACATGTCCCAGCTGCAACACCTTCCTACTCCATGTCAGCTTTCAAACTTCCCTGCTCTCTCTAAAGAGGGCTCAATTTTTGCAGCAGTTTTGTAGTTGCACCACCTACTGCAATATGGCTCAAATTCTGAACACAGAGTACCATGGAACCAAGATGGGGGTGAGAAGAACAAGACTGTGAGGTATTATATTTACCTATCTCAGCTTTATCTTGGGACAACAGGAGAGAGAGCAACCTCACAAACAGTTGGTGAGAACTACGAAAAATAAACTAAGGTTTTAGCCCACTTGTTCATGTATTAAATGGTGTAAAGCAAATTACTGTCCTACAGATACTATTAAGATGAGTTGCATTATGAATATTTAATTAAACAACAAAGATACAGGAAAGCACTTGTTTTTCATCAGGCAAACAAACATAATCATATGGGAGATAAGTATACAGAAGGACTCTAAATAGTCCTCACTGCATAGTCTGTATTTAGGAATAAGCTAGCATACACTTCCATCCCATCATTATGTTTGGTTTTGCAGCCTGTACTTTTACTCTCAAAAATCAACAGCAGAATTGAGAAATATGGCACCTAGTACTGTAGTGTAAGAAGCTGGTTTTCATATTTTTCTTCTGGATTCAGACCTGGAGGAAGTTGCCACAAACAGCCTAGAGAAGTGCACTACTGCAAAACGTGTGACTAATAGGAGAAGCCTTGTCAAGCCCTGGCAAGCTGCCTTAATTACCAAAAGGAGTCTCACCGATCTTTCAGGTAAAAATAATTAGAGATAAGCACACCAGCAATCAATATTGCTGTGTGTGAAAAGTATTTTCATTTACCCAGAAGCTCTGTTAAGTTACCTCAGTACAGTTGGGTATAGTTCAGATGTATAAATATACACGATGTTGAAAGCAGCGCTGACCATCATTTTTCCACACAAAGCTAACAAAGTGGGACTGAGGAGCAGACCTTTCAGGAAAGAGAAAACAAACTGTAAGCATAGTCTCTTTTCATACTCTTTTTTTACACAATGTTGAAAATATCCAGTCCCCTTTAAGGGACTGTCACACAAAAGCAATGTTTCATCCATACTTTTTTCAACTACAAGTATCTCAGTTCTTCCCAATCATTTGAAGAGCTAGCATAAGAACAGATACATAAAATTATATTTAGGACCAAGATGATCTGGCCCATTTTGGGGGGAAAAGTATAAAACTATCACAGCTCTAAGCAGAAGGGCTAAAGTTTCCAGCTCTGCAGTCAGAATACCTTACCAGGTAACTGCATCTTTTGACGAGCACAAACAGATATCCCCTCCTTGATTAATTTATTACATCAAAAGCATAAAACTTGATTCTCTTCAACAGTTTATTTGCTCCCCAAGGCCATCCTGTTGAGACTTAAAATGCAACAGCTTTGTAACTGGAAAGAACAAGTGCAGCCCAGTTTACTAACAGAGTTTAGTTGGCTAAACTGAAGTGTGTATCTTTTAATGTCAGAAAGAAACCTGGCTTTCATCATCCTGATTTTGGTTACGGTTATGTTTGCACCATCCATTTTAATAAAAAGAGAATTTAATGTATTTCTTTAAGCTCTTTAAGCATAAAAAGAACAAAAGCTCTGGTTAGCTGCATTTCAGAATCTCTTCCTCAGGACTGAGTTCGGCATGTTTCAGTTTGGATCAAATGATGTTAATCAAGTAATGGGAAAGTCTGATTGCTTCTTAACTGCTTTTCTTTTAATTTTGCCCTTGAATATTTTCATTTCAATTCATCTGATCAAGTCAGATTCTATTTTAACGGAAGTTCATTTGTACATAAACTGAAACTCAGAAACTTGATTTAATTTCTTTAAGTGTGATGCAGTTATTTCTGTAATTCATGCAAAACAGATGTAACATCTTAATCCAAGTTCTCCTTCTGCTCAGTAAGAACCGGAATATTAGATACAGTCGCCAGACAAAAAGGTGTGAACCTGGTCCTCAGAGCCCCGCTGGGTGCCATCAGAAAGCTGGGACATCCCTTTTTTTCCCATCTAACAAACATGAATTGATGAAGAGATTTGTAATTCTCAAATGTGTTCTAAAACTTGCTGGATTTCTCCCAGGGAGACTTAAATTGAACACTGCATATCCATGTATTAGAAATGTAGCATTAGTGCACCTGTGATGTTTTGGTCTTACTATCACAACAGAACAAAGAGTCTGTCTAGACAGAAATTAACAGAAGCTCAGGAGTGAATTTAAACTGCACTGTCTTCTCCAGCCTCAGGGGAGGCTGAAGGCTTGCCATATGGGGAATTATTAGGATTAGAAGCACACTGGAAATTCACTGCACATCAGCTTCTCAGGTAAGTAAGCCCAGAGTCGTTATATTTTCAGAGTCTTGGAACATAAGATGGGGAGGGACTCTCTACCAGGGAGTGTAGTGACGGGACGAGGGGTAATGGTTCCAAAGTGAAAGAGGGGAGAATTGAGGTTCAATATTAGGAAGAAACTCTTTACTGCAAGGGTGGTGAGGCACTGGAAGAGGTTGCCCAGAGAAGCTGCGGCTGCCCCCTCCCTGGCAGTGTTCAAGGCCAGGTTGGATGGGCTTTGAGCAACCTGGTCTAGTGGCAGGTGTCCCTGCCCATGGCTGGGGGGTTGGAACTAGATGATCTTCAAGGTCCTTTCCAATCCAAACCATTCTATAATTCTGTGATATTTTTTAGCAACTCTTGCAGAACAGTCCGTTATTTTCTTTACATCTATAAATGTAATGCCATTAAGCAGGAATCAGTTTCTCCCATGAGGCTTCCGGTGACCATTTACAGGTCACTCGCTAGGTCCAGCCAAGAATGTCCATGCAGCACCTTTAACACTCTTATATTTTGTCTAACACCCTTTCACCTGAACATCCAGTACCAGCAGTATGCACACAATTCTGCCTGAAACAGAGTCAGGGCAACTGTTTCTAACTTTGGTAAAAGGCAAAGTTCTAAATTCTTACTGAATTAATGCATTTGAGTTTTACTGCTAAGGGATAATCTTCCATTAATTGATCTTTAGACTGTAGAGAAGTAAAATGGGTGGAAATGGTAACAAATGGTACTGATGTTTAAGACCTCCTAGAACAGGAGTTACTCTGTGATTAAATTTTGATGCCATCAATGCCATTAGTAGTCTCATTCTCAGTGCACTATGTAGATTCACCCCCTGGCTGTCATCTTCATGAGTAAAAGTTCACTTAAGCAGTACTTTTGAAACTACAGAAGTCTTTAAATTTACTTCAGAAAAAATATCCACCAAGGAAGGGTAGGTCTCCACACAAAAGGAAATACCCAACATTAACAAAAGCAGAGACAAAATCCATTTAAAGAACAGCAAATTTTCCTTCCTTCTTCAGTGGAAAGCATATCAAGTCACAAGAAGTTATTCTGTGTTCAGCACAAGCAGATAAATCTAAATCAAAGTTAAAATCTAGTTACCCCTAGACTAGAAGTCTCCTTTGCTTGCTACAGTACAAAGCAGACACAAAATGCACAAGATGTCTTCGTGCTTTACAGCAGGCTTTGAAAGAAAAGACTATTACAGCTCCATTCCCCCTCTGCTGCCATTCTTCCTCACTATCTTCCAATGTGATACTCACACACATTTAATTCTAAGTGATAAGGAAAGAGGGGGCTGAGGGATACATCAGTTTTTACTTAACCACCGAGAGATTTTTAATCTCAAGTTCAGTGCACATCTTCAATAATGGAAATGTTCTTGGCTTATACCACAAGGGAAATAACTTGGATCAAATTCTCACAAGTTAGCAGAGGTTAGAAATCAAGGTTACAGACATGACAGGCAAGTACCCAGTATCTCATTAAAATCTTAAATCCAATGTAATAAAATCAAGGATCTTATCAATCACTTGGAAGAATGCAGACTTAAACAAGCGTAAGAAGTGTTCTCCTTAGTAATAGGAGAGAGGTCAGACTAGAGATGCAACGATCCTCATTTCATCCAAAGTGACTTATCTTCATCATGCTTAGAGATGAACTTCTTTCTGCTTAACTGACTCAGATCACATTGGGCCAAGAACCAGCTTTAGTCTATGACAGTGGAAAGTAAGACATTTTAACGGGGCTAAAGTCAAGTCAACTGGAAAAGGCAGAAGATTTCCTGAAATTTAGCAGCTCCTCAGGAATTATTCCCCTATCCTGATTTGTCACTACTGCTTTTCTTTCATTTTGTTTTAAAATATATAAAAAGAATCACAAAGAGCAAACTTGTTGGAAGAAAGAATGAAACTGTCTCAATAAATGGAACAACAAAACGTCCAAGGACTTGAATTAACATAACCATGGCAAATAAGACTATGGGATATTTTATCTCTGTCTGGTTTTCCTCCCAAGACTTTTCTGAGATCAGCTTAAAATGGATGCCAGACAGCATCTAACTGTTAAGGATAAACAGAACCTCTAGAAGGCTACCTTGTAATCACATCACTGGTGTTCCTCAGTCAAAACACTGTTAAGGCTAAAGCCTTTCTACTGAAGTGAAACTAAAATACAAGCAGAGAGTGGCCACTTCTAATTGTTAGTGTCATATAGAGGTAAGTTTTCAGTAGCTAAACTAACTATTAGCACAGAAAAACTGTACTTGAAATGGAAAGAAAAGTGAAAATAGAAAGCCAAGCCTAGGAGAAGGTCACTGACAATGTTCGAAAAAACACATCTTTCGAGATGAGAAATACACTTGGTGATCCTCCACTGTTATCATGAAGTGTCCTCACAACTGCACAGCACAGCAATACACAGCACGAGACTGAGAAAGGCAGCAAGTTTCTTGTCCTCCCTATAGCTTCCATATTGCAATTCTGACTTCCATTTTTAGTGGTTTGAATTACGATGAATTAAGCTATTAATTCAGGATGACCTCAGTTCCTACTTCTATAAATATCACATGCCACCAAAACAAATGTAAAGTTAAACTTGGCATCTCACACTGTCAAGATCCAGTCAAACTAACACTACATGGCACTGCAGTCTGGCTATTAAATCCAGTATTTTAAGGTAAACTGCTTAACAGTGATAAATTAATGCAGCATCAGTATTTGAGACAGAACATGATAGCTTGGTCTCACTTTCAAAGAGCCAAGGGCTTGCAGTCAAACTTAGTCAATTAACAGGGTCAAATTATGCCTGCAAGAAGTTAAAAGCAACATAGACAAGATCATGGCTCCCACACCAGCCTCAGAAGGAGAAAGAGGTATAAATGGATAGGGCTTTAGGTCCCGATACACTTGGTCACAAAATACTCATTAAGTTGTCTTGTCAGCTTTTACCTGAATTAACAAACATCTGCTTCAGCAGCAGTACACACTTACCAGCATTTGTTGGTAAAAACACGGTAAATACACAGGCAAATCCTGCAAATACCAGAAAACATGTCACAGTTTTACGTCTTCCAGACCTAGAAGGAAAAGAGCACCCAGATAAAGATGGAAACAAAGTCCTTGAGTATTTTTTAAATTTGTCTGCAAAATACCAACTAAAGTACACAGCAGCATTAATAACAGTTGTAAGTCTATTGTATCTTGGTAAGTGCTTCAAATCTTTCATTATTTTCCTAGTTCTGTGTACTGAAGTCCTCCCACAAAAGCTTTCCTATTTCCAGCCAAGTTTTGATTTTTAAGCTATTGAATTTGTAGCCCTGAGAAGAACCCATCTACTTCAGCAACAAGAATTCAGACTTTTTTCTTCTCTATACTGAGCAAGGCAATGGGCCCTGTACCCTGTACCTGAAAGGGTACTACAGTGCATACACACAAGGATCAAAGTAATACTGATCAAGAAAATGTAATTCTAATGCTTCCTAATTTATTTTTCTCTTTCACAACTTTGCATAAATATATGCAGTTATGACACACAGTAAAACTATTTGGTATGCTTTAAAGTAAGAGAAGACTACAGGACAGAAAATCAGCAGCCCATCTCCACATCTGCCATACTTAAATATTTCATAATTATGTGCAAAGGAACACAAATAAAGATATTCTCAGTAACAGCTTGCAGAATGTAGAAATACTATACACGCTTGTTACTTCACGAACTCTCACAGCTATTTCTAACTACTATTCCATACTAGTAGAACTACAGTTTATCTGAAACAAACATACAATACTTGTTTTTAAAATCTTCTAAATACTTCTGCAACAAAAAAAAGCCATGCTTTAAGGATACTGCTTGCTAAAATAGAATGAAAACAGAGCAGCTGGCTTGTCTGTTTTGCATTAAGCCCCTAAAACTACACATATCCTTACTTCAGGAAACCAAAAGCTTGAAATCTACAATTAGATCAACAAATTCAATTAGGGAGGGAAAAAAAAAAAAAAGAAACCACCACAAAACCAATCAAACCACAACAGGTAGAAAAGGACTTGTGCAGTTTGTGGTTTAAGTGCATGTCCTTGACTCAGGCTTCTCAGGTTTGAGGCGAAGGTTGGCTGGTTGTTTTGCTTTTTAGCTTGATGGAACTGATAGTTTTTTTCCTGCCCAAAACACCCAAAAGGTGACACCCTCACCAACTAAATAAAATGGGATTTTTGCCACTGACCTCAGTAGAGGCCAAAGTATGATTACAAAGATACTCAAAGGTTGCACGAAACCCTGACTAGCTCCGGGTTATTGGATCATTTGGCCTTTGGAAATAAGCACCCACATAAAGGATGGCCTTCAGATACCGAAAAGTATGAAAATACATGGACCCGAAAAGTATGAAAATACACGGACATCGATCATTCATGCTTGAACACAAACTGAACAGCTCTCACTTCAAAGTTCTGTTTGAAAAGTTTAAGTAAAAATCAACAGTGCTGAAAACTGCTTTCAACTGCATTTGGTAGGCAGTACAAAAGCAAGTCATTCTGAATAAAATATGTAAGAGATATATAAGCTATACATACGTAAATAACTAGGCTACTCATTTTTTCTCATAAAGACCAAAGGTCTTTTAACAACATTAATCATTGAAAAGCTCATCTCTTGAGTAATTCAAAAGATGAACAAAACCAGAAAACAGAAGAGGTATCAACTACAGAAACCCCTGCAGTGGAGTAAATCCCCAAAGAATCAACACTTTTCTAAACAGTGAAGTATATTACTGAGAAAAATACTAGTATTTTTCTAGGCTATCTACAACTATATGCAGAAAACTAGGAGGTAAGTTTTTCTTACCAGGACTTCTCAATAAAAAACATGCAGAGAGGAAATGCTGGAACTTCTACAAGACCAGAAAGAGCCACATTTAAATACAGATTTCCTCTTAATTCACCAGCATTTAAAGTTAGTCCATAGTACACAAAACTGCAGACATACCTAAAAATAACCATAAAAGTTGTATTACTAATATAACTAGTCTGTAGGGCTAAGAAAGTATTTAAAAGGTAAATTACGTCAAGTTACAGATTAGCTCTACTGAGTGACATACTAGGAAGAGAACTCTTATTTCCCCCCAAAAGGCAAACAAGGCAAAGATAATAGTTCCCACTTAATTAAAATAAATTCTTTGAAAGAAAACAAGTGCTCAGCATAATTTTCAGAATTTTCTATTAGGTTGGTTTTTTCTCCTAGGTTATTTGGCAAATCTAATAAGCTTAACTGTAAGCAGCTGATGCTTAACTGTTGCAAAGCAATCCTATGAAAGAAAGTTACATGTACATCCATTGCTTAACACAAAGTGCCTTCCCCACCAAATCTATTACCACTTTGCTTGGAAAGAGCTAAGCCCCCACATCCCCACCCCACAAGAAACAACACTGGGTTAGAAAAGCCACCAGATATTACAGCGACATTTTGCCTATTCCCTAGTTATTCCCTTACTGTCCAAGCAGAGTCTGGGCCAAGTGATGTAGAAAAGGAAAGTTTTGCCTGATACAGGGAGAAGTATGTCCTCTATCAGTCACAGCTGACTAAAGGCTAAGGCTCCTGAGCAACAACACAAGGAGCTTGGCGACACCACTTCAACAGCTCCATGCACTGTATCTTAACAGGGTCTGAGATAGAAAAACTGCTGCAACCTCTTCTTCCAGAAAGTAAGAATGCCTTTGTGTCATTTCTCATCTTGTACTTACATTTAGCTACCAGCAACTTAAGAGACTAAGATGCTTTGGGAAGCTCCTACTCAGCAAAGATGTTCCTGCTGCTTCTCCTGGATCCTGTGCATCTCTGCTTACCCCACACATCAAACAATGGACTTGTGCCATCTACATCCTGACAATCGTCTCAAATGTTGTTGAGCTTTGAAGGGAAAACTTGCTCTTGGCATTTTGGAAAAGAGCTGTTCCTCCAAGAGATTTTAGCTCAAGCCAATCTGCAACAGCAGCTGCTGTAACAACCAACCCACCACCCTCCCCACCCCAGAATCTCCCTCTCCACTGCACTGCCATTTATTGCTGATAAGTTACAACTTCCTGCACTTTGGAGTGGTTTTTTTTTGCAAGTTGTATCACTTTTCAAGACATCACCCAATATAAATCTATGCAACCTGTACTTCATCTTGCCCACAGTTTTCCTCCACTGAACCTGTGTAATGGGCTTTTGGGCTCTTAGCACTTATCCTTACTCCAGATCTCTACTGTTGTCTAATCCACGTAGTCCTTTTCTTCTTAAAACTGGTTCAAATACACATCCTTTCGGCAATTGCTGCTTCAGCTTCTCATTTCATCCAATGTAAATATTATGTTCTCGACAGATTATTTCTTAGTAGGTTTTGAAGCAGTTTAAGTAAGACTGAAAATAAAATGCAACAGCAATAATAATGAAACATCAACTTTAAAACATATCAGTTCAGATTATTATTGTTTGCCATCAACTGACAAATTTACGATTTAGTTTGAGGACAGAATTTTTAAAAGAAAAGGATGAAAATCTTAATAATTTCCTCATGTCTGACTCATTCACAGCACCTCAGTGTCTTGTTATTACATACCAAACATACATCAGGATGATAGTCCACCACCGAAGGACTGGGTGTTTTACTAAGTTTAGGATACCAGGTGCCGATTCATCCTTTCTCAAAGTTCCTGCACTTGGTTTTAATTTTAGATTTAATCTTTCTTTTCCATTACCAAGGGCAATATATTGCAACACATCTTCAGCTTCTGCCGTTTTCCCTTGGGAATACAGCCATCGTGGTGATTCTGAGAGCGTACTAATAGGAAAGAACAGAAAATCAACGGTGACAAGTTCATTCCTATGAGCACAGCACTAAAGTCAATCTTTCCATTTTGCAAATCAATACTTAAAATACAACAGAAAATTCAGAGAGAAACATTCTATTTGCACTTTCTGCATATTAAATTCCGCATACTCCGGTAATAATACAGTTAACCTTACAGAAGGATTGTTGGAGATGCTTTACAAAGCACTCAGTTATGTTAGAGAAGTTCAAACGTGAATCTTGACTTCTGCTCAACTGACTTCTTAGGAAACACTGCATTAGCATGATCCAAGAAGCATCTCAAATCCCAGTTATCTGAACAGCCCAGACAAAACTTTGTTTTCATGAAGCTTATTTCAAGCTTTTCCATTAGCAGAAGGGCTGTGAGTTGGAGTGGAGAGAAAAGAAATCTTACTGGGGAATTATTTGTCAGGCTCCAGTACTAGCTCACTGCTGCCCACCTACATCTCAAATCTGTTACTCCCAAGTATAATCAGAATATCCTTGCTTACCACAACTTCAGTTCATTATTCCTGGTTTGTTTATGGGTTTTTTTCAGATTGTGAAGCATGCTGCTGCTTTTATAGGAGCCATAAAATGAAGAATGGAATATTTTTAACTGAACCTTTATTTTCTCTGGTACTCCTAACAGAAATATATATCCTACAACCAAACTAAACTTCTCTTACTTCAGAGGATCTTTAGTATTTGGGGGGAGTAATTCTATTTCCATCAGAAACAGAACACCATAGAGAAAAGTATGTCATGCAGAATTTCTTTCCTCAGCCCACAGGCTTTGTTTACCTTGACTAAGGAAGAGGGGTTTGGGTTTTTTTTTTGTGTATTCTTTAACAGAACTTCTTTCAAGAGCAGATCTATCTAAAAAATAGTAGATTTTTTTTTTTTTAAATAATAGAAATAAAAATCAGAAGGGTTTTTTTTTCCCTATCTATGCTGTATGCTAGACATTCCCCATATTAATGTGTAGACACTTTACACTAGTTTTTATTTCTTCTACAGCTTTAACTAATGATCAGAGGTATACAAGGAGTATTACTTGATATGTTAAAAGAATATTTTGTAACAACACACGCCAGAGAAAGCTAGCACTTTTAATTCCTTAAATACTGATGCATTTCATAATCATTTTCATAACGTCCACATAGGGATTCTAAATAGAGGCACTCAAGCACAACAGTGCTAGACAGACAGAAGGGACCTCAAAAGCAAGCAGATACATAGCATATCATGCTGAAAAGGCCAAGTGCTCTCACTTATTTCCCTTTGCATGCATGGGTCGCACGAAAAGAAACTAAAATCCCTCTAGGATCACTTTCAAAACTTCAAGCGCTGAAGCCCTTCCTTGGCAGAAGGCAGTGTTCCTGGCTGATGCTCCAGATCACAGCCTCTGGCAGGCCTTCCCTTCCCCAAGCAGATTTGTAATTGAGTTTTGTCGAACAGCTGGCACACAGCTGCTCTTTGCAACGTTGGCCACCACAACTAACAGCATGCAGAAACACAAGTGTGTCTTCTGCATAACCCTGACCTTCTGCTTCATTTAAAAACTCTTCTTCCTTTACAACATGATTTTTCTCTTGCTTGGTTCACAAAATCATACGATGATGAGAAAAAGTAACTGTTAAATTGCTGCGTATTTTTTCTTATCATTTTAACGCATGTGAACCACTTACAAAGAAAGAAGGAGGAAGGTAACTCCTGGAGTATTCGATACCAAGGCAAGGTAGCGCCATTCTCTTACACAGTAACCGAGTAAAGCATAAACAGCAATGCCAACTGCAAATGTCAAATTAGTTAACGAACCTGAAAATACAAGACCAAAACACTGACTACAAAAACAAACAAAAAAATTCTTAAGCAGAAGCCTGAAATTCCTAGCCCATGATATACCTACATAAAATAATAATTTTATGACGTATCTTCACAGCACTTGTGAACCAGCTGGTTTAAGTGTATTATGCAATCCCAATGAAGAGTAGCTTTGTATAATGTATGGGGGGGGTTGGGGCTTTTTTCTCCTTTCAAAAAAATACAGGGTGGTACATAGGAGAAAGCAAGAAATGAACAAGAACCTACAGACTACAGAGAAGACCTGAGGACAGGAAGGGCAATTGTTGAGAGTGATTTATTTAGGTCTATTAAGGTAATCTTGAACAGAGGTGACAGGCTGGAACAGAAGTTGGAAGTTACAAAAGTACAAGGACTGACTTCAGTACAAAACCAGCTGCAAGCCAGAGGTTTATTACAGCAGACTTCCAATGAACAAGCACAAATAAAAGTGTTAAAAATATGGGGTCAACTTGAACTCCAAAAGCCTAATGATAACCAACCCTCTGCAGTCTAACACAGGAGATCTTGTACTAACCCAGAATCTCTCAGCTATCGCCCACAAAGCCTAGCTCACAGCCCACACCTAGGAGAGCTTCTTTAACACTGCCGAGCTGCATCCAGCAGCTCCCTCTCCTTCAGCCTCTGTTCCGTTGTTCAGCACCTCTTTCTCAACAGCTGAGCAGAACTAGATAGAGCAACAAGCGTCAGGAAACAGGACTGTCTCTTCGGTCCATCAGGAGGCTGGTCCTGCAGGGAGAAAGGCTGGGGAGAGCAGAGACAACAGGGCAAGGGGGAAGGAGGGGCAGGAGAGAGAGCGCGAGAGTCAAAAAAGTGAACCCGGGAAAAGAAAATTCACTACTTTAAAAAAAAAAAAAAGAGTGGAAAGCTATAACTAAACTACAACTGTCTCACACATCCCCAGGAGGCCAGAGAAGAAATAAGAAAAACAGTAGAATGAGGTAACTGAAGAAATGAGAGAAATACACAGCCACAGCAGGCCAGCATTGGGCCTGTTTTTCCCCATGCTGTGCTAGCTAAAAGGGCGTTACAGTCTCAGCTATTCCAGCTTTACAACTGTCTGACAGGCAAGTGTTAAATACATTTTAAGTCTTGGCAGTGGCACATGAAATAGGACATTTAAAAATACTGGATGATCAGCACCTTCAGCAGTGGAAAAAACACTGTCCAGGCACTAAGTCATTTTGTGGTGCAGGGAAACTTCAGAGAACACTTTCAAGAATACCTTCCCAAGACAGCATACAGCATCGTTCAGAAGTTGGCAGGATCTGCCAAAACACGTATTATTTTTTTAATGTACAAATTGAGACATTTTAGGACTCAACGTACCAACTTTAAAATCTCAGTTTTGCTATTTATCAAACAAACTCAATCCCATCTTCCTTATTCAGCCACCCTTCCCACAGAAATCAGAACCTGGATGAATCACACCACACTTATTTGACTTATGCTACAAACTGACTTTACTTGGTACAAACATAAAAGGTAAGGTATTGATAGTCAGAACAACATGTAGCACAATAAGAACGATTAAATATTCCCAAATCCCACATGTAAATGACCAAAATGATTTTCCTACATATTCTTGTGTTAGGACAAAAGATACAAGAGCCATTCCACCATTCATAATTCCAACAAAAAACCGCGAAACTGCAAATACGTCGTAATTTGGAGCTAATGCTGTGACATACCCAAAAATTACATCAAAAAATAGACCTGTAGAGAGAATAAAACATAATTAGTACTTATAAACTCAGAAGAAAGGCAGAGACCACAGCCTGTTACTGACTGTAATCAGTAGTCTATAGTACTCTCGTCTCTAATCTCTCACATTTGGCTTTCTGAAATCACACCATATGAAAATTACAACCATTTTCAAGTCACACGCTTGAGGTCTGAGATGCCAAAGATGGTGTTTCCTTGAGACAATGTTATCATTAAACAAAAAGACATTTGGCCACAAATGCAGCCAGAAGAATAAACACCAGGACATGAGTAACCCACTCTGAAGATGTTTAGTTAAATAATTCTCCCACACCCCCTCCAATAAACAACCAGCTTATTTTTCATCTCCCATTGACAGTCCAGGTATGCTGCTCAGCACACTCATACGAACCAGTTTTTGTGCTGCTCTGAGTGAAATGCTGATACAGATCATTGACTTTGTATCATTGACAGAGCAGGTGACCCACAGGCAGCCTTCAGGTAAAGAAAGCCCATGGGCAGAAGATAAAGAGATCACACTATCCACAGAGAATGCTTAAGAAAAACCTTTTAACAATCTTACCTGAAATATACACTGGTTTCCTGCCCAGTTTGTCTGACAAAGGGCCAAATGTGATATTTCCAATAAGTAATCCAGCAAAAAATAAGGAAGATGCAAGGCTTACTTTGTAGGCTTCCTGTTCAATTAGGTACCACTGTCAAGAAAAAAGAATCTCCTGTGTTAAAAGTATTAACACCAAGTTGCTGGCTTCCTCAAAAATAATAAAAAACTAATCAGAAGGCTTCTCTTGCCATTTCCTACTTCTTGCTTTATATCCAATTAAAAGTTTTGTTCACAGTTGGGATAGGTGAGCCAATGGTAGTCACACTTTTTCCTCCCTAATAGGCTCCCACATCTGTCCCTACTTTCCCCCAAGAAATTTTTTTATAATACATTATAAGCTTTCAACTGGATAAATATAGTTAGTTACACCCCAATCCCCAAGCTTTGGCAATGCAACTTATCTTAAGTTATTACAAGGAAAGTCTGAATTGTTAACAGCTTAGCCATTTCAGCATTGAACAAGCTTAGCTATTTCAATGAACAGGTAATAAAAATTACTCATTAACGAGAATAACACATGTTCACTATTGCAGTACTTAAGAGACTTAATGCTGTGCAGCTATGCTTCCTGAACCATGAGTAATCCCTGATGCCTTGCCTCATCGTACACATATTGAACTGTTGAAGAAAAGCAGGAAGGGATTATGGAAAGATGTCCTTGTTTTATAAAAACTCTAAGGACTACTCATTGATATCCTATCAATGGTATCTTACCGTTCATATGCATTTATAATAAAACAAAAGTTACAAACAAATAATGGGTTTCTTCATAAAATGTACTTTCTACCTCTCCAAAAGCTCAACTGAGGCAGCATAATCAAAAATTTTCAGAAGATAAGAAAATGAACTGAGAGTGGGTTCAAATTGGAGTGAAACTTCTTTTATTTCCTGACAGGGCAAGGTACACAGACAGCTTGTGCAACTCCTCTGCTACAACCAAGGAGTACGAACATGTATAGAAATGCACTGTTGAGATTACAAACATTGCCATTCTTTCTCAAGTACATGATGTCAGCAATCAGAAAATCCTAAGTGATTTTCTAGGAAAATAATTTAACTAATTCAATGCAAAGCTTTATCCCAAAAGATATTTAATCATTATTTGAGTATTTCAAATCATTCCCCGTTTATTTACTGGAAAATTCACTTTCAAAAAATTGGATGAGTGTCATGCTGACTTTTTAAATGACATGTGCAGTATGTCCTTTGGGAAAAGCAAGAAGGATCCTAATCTCATTTGCTTTTTTTAAGTAGAACATGTTGGGGTTTGGGTTGTTTGTTTGTTTGTTTTTTTTTTAAAAAAAAAAGCCTAAGGGAAGAGGCCCATGACCAAAATCCAATATAGCATACTAGGACCTCAGCCCTGAAGTGTCTGCCTTGAATCAACACAGATCCCCAATTACTGGAATTCACTGAAACTTTTGATTATAGCAATCTCAAGAAACATATGCTTCTACTCAATCAGAACTCACATAGTAGCACAGAATAGAGTATAACCCACCAATTACCTGTGCTCTACCGGTCGAGCGGCCTGCAAGATGCAGGTTGTGGGAACAGGACAAAATTTAATGCATTCACAGGACACCTTCTTTAGTGCAGCGTACCCACTTTTCCAGCACTTCAGCATTTTGGGGGCCTTTTGGAAGGTAAAGCTCCTGTGCAGCAGCATTTGCAGCAGGTTTCTACTATACCCGCTGGGTAGTAGATTCTACTCCATCACATTGCATAAAGATGTAGCCCCAAAGCTTATGGTTTCTTAACTTCCTGAGGAGACTTAATGAAATATTCCTGAGCATAAATCCTCAGGAAGCTTCAAGTATAAAAATATCACAGCACATGCTCTCCAAGGCACAGAGGACTGCTGGCATAAGCCATTCTTCCCCATGCTAACACTCCACAGCACACAAATTTCAAACTCCAAGTTCTCATTTGCAGAGCATTTCAGGCTGATATAAGAGACAGAACAACTTTATGCTCCTGGATACAGTTGTAAAAATCAACTTCTCAAAAGGTAAATGATCGTTTCTAAACCAAATATAAGATACTCCTAAACTCGCCTTCCTAAGGATCATCACTTGTTAAAGAAGCAGACTGAGTTGATGTCAGACCAAGAAGCAATTCTAACTGTATTTTCCATGAACCAAGTCTGCACTATTATTTATGATGTCTTAGTTATGCCAAAATTAATTATAATGATTAGTTCTTGAAGCAGAACTGAAGAACTGCTCTGGAGTTTTGTTAAGCTCCAGAGCAGAACAGTGTGCCTGCCAAACCAGAACAGAACTTAGGAAAAAACCCAACCAAACAAAACAAAACAAACAAAAAAAACACCTTAGTTTAAGCTCCATCACTAAAATAAAGGAAATAAACTTTACAAAAGCAGCTTCCTCTCTCAGGACAGAAGAAGATAAAAGATTGCTTTTGCAAACCTTTATTTGTGCTGCTTAACGTATCACTGGAAGATGCTTATATTTTAACAAGTCAGATTTAAAAGTTACACTCTTCACAGATTATTCTAAGAATGTGTCATTTTATTTGCACAAAAGGAACTTGTGAAGTATTTGTTAAAATTAACTGTAGCTTGCCAACAAAAGCGTTGCCAACTTTGCTATCACGAAAACAGACATCCTCTCAGCTCTTTAAATCCACATGGCAGTTTGATTTAGTTACTAGACCACTAGCATACAGCAAAATATTGGCCCGTATGTAAAGACTCCATGAAAAGACTATTAACAACATAATTTAAAAAAAAAATAATCTTACAATAGTTACTGAAATGAATGGGAATCTAAATTTGTTTTGACGAGTCTCAAGAATTACTACATATTCTGGAAATAAGGACATCAACTTCTACATTTAAAAGCACACTATTAGTTAAAATTTACTGATACCTGAGTATAAATTAAGCACTACCCCATATCATGCATCCTGCTGAGAGCCTGAAACTGAAGAGTGATCTTGAAAAACAGATTAATCAAAAAATCTGTTTCTGACAGAGGATATGATCCAATATTGCATCGTTCCTTCTTATGGCCAATCACTACATTTTTCTAAGATAAACATTATAGAGTCACATTTGGGATAATGGGAAGGAAGCAAAAATTTGGCACCGGCTACAGCAAGTGCTAGCCTGTCTTATACAAGTTTACTGACAACCGCTCCAAGAATTCAATCAGCAGAACGCTGACAGTTCACACCATAAGCCAGGCCACCCACACAGTGTTTTTTCTGGCACTGGCAGCGATGCTGAGGTCACTTTGCCTGCATGATTATAGCCCAGGGACTACCAAGAAGGAAATGCGGCCTTTTGCATGGAATTCACAAGGCGTGAGGATGAAGGGTCAAGCTTCTGTCCCACTCAGCAAACTTCAATCTGTTCCATCTCCCACTCTCATCACACATTAAATTATCCAGACATGCAGTGCCCAAGTTTCATTTTCGTACTAGTTTTAATCTTTAAGATGTATCTTCTGTGAGAAACTAACGCAACTTACAGTAAAGCTTACATGCACAGCAGATTGTGCAGACATGACAAATTGAACCTTTTCTTGGTAGAAAACAGACATTAGGAGGAGCTCATCCTAAATTCCAGAGTTATAAACTGTAGTTTAAATGATCACTCTTCATTAGTAATGACTTTCTAAAACATCAGAAGGGAAAGAAAACTGAAAACAAATAATATACAGAAAATTTAACCTAAATTAGTATTTTATTTACGCTAGGAAAGCCAAACTAATAATTTAGTCATACACTTTCAGATGTAAAAATAATAGCAATAAAATTAAACAGTCAGATGGGTGGGTTCCAGTAATTTTTAATAGCATAAGCAAAACATTACACTAAGCCCTCCTCGGCTTTTACAAGCGCCACATGCTGCACTAGTGGCACAAATCCCAAGAGAAGAAATGGTTAGGCGTGATGGAAGTACTTGCCTCAGTTACTATAGACGTGAAGTTGTTCGCAAAATGGATATGCTTGGCAAGCTCAGCTCTGCTCACTGGAATTCCTTCTTGGTCTACATGATACTTGGGCACAGCTCCCACAAGCACAGTAAGCATCGACTGACAAGCCACATATACCTTCAAATAAAGACACAATCATTTACCCTAAACAATCTAAAGGAGACCTGATAGAATACTGTAAGCTTTTCATTAAACTAACAATTATCAATTTCCCTTTACCCAGCATCACAAACAAAATGCAGTCAGTCTACTGTGTTTAAATCCACAGATGTGTGCATCGAGGCAGCTGAGAGCAGTGGGGGTACCACTCCAGACACCCTGGTGCACTTCTAGTAAAAGCTTCATGTTGACACCCTCCTTTGCTGTTGCAAAGTTGTTCAGTTTGTTCTTGCAGTTTTGTAGCCAGGCACAGGAAAGGAAGATATTAAGAACTTCATCACAGTTTCAGAGCTGAGATACAACACTTAGACCAATATTATTATAAAAAAATTTTTTTTACTTACTATAGTCAAAGAATATAGTGGCAACTCAAAGAATTTGTGGCGACAAGTTAAAAAAAAAAATCTAAGATTATATTTTTAAAAGTATCTGCTAGTTCTTTGCATTGCAGAGACCGAAACCTTAACCTGATCATAAGGAAAACTACAATTCGCACAAATAAAAAAAGGATTGTCATAAAGAAACCCTTACAACAACATTTATTCATCAATATGGGCTTCAGGATGTTTTGAATGTCTTCTGGGCTTTTCATGTGATTTTATTTTCTCTAACTTAAAATAACATTACCCTTAAAATTATCCACATATTAGTGATTTTCAGCATGTTAGCACTGACAAAAAAGTTTTGAATCTAGAATGGCTTCCTCCATTGGGCCACAAGTCTTTGGGACACTTTTAATGTGCTGTTTTATCCTGTGCTTACCTTGGACGTTCTTGCAGAAACAAGTTGTAAACAAAAAACTGCAATCAGCACAATCTCCCTCCCTCACAACAGTGTTTTACTTGAAAATGCAGAACTGCACTAACAGGAGGAAGGCTGTCACAGGCAAACTAAGCGAGTGAAACAGATAGATGTTTGCACGTGTGGGTGTGGACACTATTTAAAGACAGCACCCAAAATACCACTTTTCGCAAGAGATTTAAAAAAAAAAAAAAACAAAAAACCACAACAAAAAACCACACACACAAACAAAAACCACACACCAAAAAAAAAAACCCAGTTGCCGTGGTCAAATTCCCGTTTCCTTCCACTCAGCAGAAGCTTAAAAGGCACTCTTCAAAAAGTGGAAGATGTGCATAGAAACAAGGAAAAGAGTAACTCTGAGAAGTCAAGCACGTGGGACAGCACTGAGGCAAGAAAAAGGTTTGAACAGCAACTTGTAAAAGGAACAAAACCCGCCAAATCCTTTTTGAATATTCGCCGCAGTAATGCCAGAGGGTTACCCTGCCCCGCTCCCCAGGCGTCCCTCCCCAGAGCGCCCTCAGCGGAGCACACGGACAAGCACCGGGGCCAGGGCCAGGGCCAGCGCGGGGGAAGGCGCCCAGAGGCGGAGGAGCTGCGGGGGC